AGAGAGAGAGAGAGAGAGAGAGAGAGAGAGAGAGAGAGAGAGAACGAGAACATACACACAACAGACACATATACAAAAGCCAATTAGCGATGATTATGAAGAGACCAGCATCTTTAAGGTGAAATCATCTGGCAATTGTTTCCTTAGGGTAAATGCACAGAAGTTTGGAGTGGTGACTTAGGCTGTACCTCATTCTAGTCAAAACTGGGCATGCATAAGAGGCTCCAAATTGATACTATTTTTCAAGGCAGCTGAGGGCTGGCATTGTGAGAAACCAGAAGTGAAGGTTTAAACTCAATGGCAGTGGAAACCCCGGGATATAAGGGTCCATTCAGAGATGTTGGGGCAGGGCACCATGAAGAGTGTCTAAGAAAGGCTCTTGGCACAAGTGCAGCCCAGCAACAGCAGCAGCAACAGCAGCAGCAGCAGCAGCAGCAGCAGCAGCAGCAGAGTTGACTTCAGCCATGAGACTCACTGTAGGTGCAGTGGCAAGCCCTTAGGAACAGAAACGAGTGTGAGGGAATGACAGACATCAGACACCGAGTTATTTGCACCGTTAGAGTTCATTTTTCTTTGTCTAGCTTGTGACTCTGCCTTGGTTCTTCCCTCTTGGAATAAGAAAGTATTTAATTTACTTTCATTTTTGTAGGAGCCCATAGTTGAGAGACGAGGAAGTTTTTAAAGAGACTTTGGATTCATAAATCGATGTTGAATTTTAAAGAAATTAAAGTTTTAAAATATTCAAATTTTTAAAACCTGGGAGTTTTAAGTTTTAAATATGTTTTATATTGTGATGATTATTAATGTGATATTTGAAGGATAAACAAAGGGGAAAAGGTTATTGTTAGCTGGTATTGTATTGGTCTGTCAAGCTCACAAAGTTGTCAATTGTCCTAGCTAGTTTTTATGTCCACTTGACACAAGCTAGAGTCATCTGTAAGGAGGAAACCTCAATTGAGAACATCCTCCATAAGATGCAGCTGTAGACAAGCCATAGGGCATTTTCTCTTAGTGTTTAATGTGGGAGGGTTGAGCCCTTTCTAAGTGAGGACACCCCTAGGCTGATAATCCTTGGGTGCTTGAAGACAGCAAGCTAAGCAGCCATGAAGAACAAGGCAGTAACAAGTATGGCTCCATGGCCTCTGCATCACTTCCTGCCTCCAGGTTCCTACCCTGTTGGAGTTCCCGCCCTTACTTCCTTCAATGCTGTTCTCTAATATGGGAGCATACGTAAAATAAACCCTTTCCTCACCAGGTCGCTTCTGCTCATGGTTTGATCACAGCAGTAGTCAACCCTGAGCAAGACAGAGAGCAAGTTTCTTTCTTCCCACTTTATAAGCATCAAATTGAGAAGTCAGACAAGTTTCCAAAATTTATTTAGCTGGAGAATAAGACTGAAATTACTATCTTCACGATTCCAAGCCAAAATGTTTTTCATTTGCAACCTTAGAATTAATTGAGTGGTTTTTTTTTTGTTTTGTTTTTTTTTAGTTCAAAGGTAAATACGCATTTAAAACGATTGAATGAGTGAATTTAATAAAATATTTCAATAAGATAATGAAGCTAGGTGAATTTAAATAATTAAGCAGACAAGGCATGTTTCATTATCAGTGTCTTGATGTATGGAGTCAATTATGCCGCATTTACAGTGACCTAAAAATACCGCCTAGCAGAACAGGTAAATTATTGATCAGAGTATCACCTCCAGTAAAGGTCAAAAACTTACTAGGGATAAAACTGATCCTTGATAAGAGATTCAAGAAACATCTGCTGTATAATGTTTATTGTGTCCTAGGCTTCCAATATTATGCTATTGTATACTGTTATTTTAAAAGTCTCTAACAGTTTGAATGTATGTATGCTATCACTTAGCAACATTCCCAACACTAATAGCCACAATTTGTGGGGGGGGTTTCTTTGAAAATAATCCAAGATGCTTAGAGTATAGAACATGGCTGTCATCAACCATCTTTTTCTACACACTTTGGGAAGATATCATTAAAAATTAAATTTACCCAGGAAAATTGGGCTCGTATACATAGCTAATAGGTTTGAGGACTTACATGGTATTGTCGGGAGAGAATGCTAGTCAGTAACTACATTTGGTCTTAGCCTTCCCGGAAGGAGCTCTCCACTCTCTGTGGTTCCATAAATATTTCATAAGCCAACATAAAGTAATATGCTAATGACAGCCTGCTTACCCAGTGAGCAGGTGCAGTGTGGGCAGTGTGTTTTCATCTTGGGTACACACCTGTAATATGAGGTCAGGCATGGCGTTCTGAATTGGCTTTCCCTTTGTTTCCCCCATCACAGTTTCGCTTGAACCAAAAATGGTGAGTGCCAGTCATCCTGAGGCCCTGGCCGCCCCTGTCACCACTGTTGCAACCCTTGTCCCACACAATGCCACTGAGCCAGCCAGTCCCGGGGAAGGGAAGGAAGATGCCTTTTCCAAGCTGAAGCAGAAGTTTATGAATGAACTGCATAAAATTCCATGTGAGTATACTATCTTCACTTTAAGTAAAAAGAAAAGATTGAGCAATCCATTAATAGCATTGGAAAATCAGCTGAATTCAATGCTATTCTTCTTGCTAGTATGTATGGTAGTACTCCAATGATAAGTGATTTTGGAAATGGAATATGATTTTTTTCTTTATCTGTGTTTTTATAAATAATAGCACAGTTTATAATGAAATTATGTGTGCTGGGTATAATGGAGGTTGGTCCTTCATTTTTCCATTTCTCTGATAATAATAATGCCTATAGGTTGTATTATATGAAGCTTAGATTTGTACTGATGGAGTTGTTATATAGGAAAGACTATATTAGCTGATAACTTCCCACTATTTCAAGCTTGATTTTCTTTCCTTTGTTAGTATTTTTAAAACTTGTCTTTCTGTCACTGACTTTTCAATATTCCAAAAGCTTTTACCTACTTTTAATTTCTTATCAATGAGAAACACAAAGCCTATGGCTAGGCTTATTAGAGTAAATGTAACACTAAGTCTAACCTGTGGTATTTAACTTTTCACATTTTATTTGTATATTTACAGATATATTTACTGTGTATAATGACAGTATTTTCAGCTATGAATACAGTATATTGACCTACTAAGTATCACGTGGGCACTGCCTCACCTAGAACAATTTTTTACTGACAACATCCAACATTCACTGTCTTAGCTCAGAATTACTACAGCCCATGTCATGCAATAAGGCTCTTGAATTTCCTTTCCTCTCTAAATCAAAGTTTGTATCCTTTGATCATTTCCCTCACCTTCTCCTCAAGCCCCTTCAAGCTCAGGTCCTTTGACCTTCACATGGGCTCTGTGGCATATGTGAGCGTGTGTGTGTGTGTATACATGCACTATGTTCACGCACACAGTAATAATAGTAAAATAAACAATGAAGGTAAATTTGGAATGTTTTCTTAGTATTGGCAAAGGATCGTTTTCTTGGTTTATCGTTGAGATAGTGCGTCTAAATAATTCTGATCTTTGTACATTAATGTTGGGTCATTTAACTAGTGAGTCCATTCAATACTTCTAAAAGTTTGGGAAGGACTCTCTGAGTCTCTTTATATGATCATACCATGTGCAAACAAGGAAAATCTTTTCTTCTTGCCCACTTTGGGTGCCTTTTATCTCTCTTTCTTGCCCTGTTATTCTGGTGAAGACCTGCCATACTGTTTCATGATTGTGCGTCTTTGCTTCCTGCATTATAGAAGTTTGTAAATACTAACTCTGGGGCCGTCATGCACACCCTTTATCATATTGAAGTATAATTCTTATATACCTAACTTGTTGAGCATTTTTAAGAATATTCAATTATTTTCAAATTCTTTTCTTTTCAAATAATCATATCGCTTTACACTTTGTCCTCTTAATACACTTATCATATATATCAGTTTACAAAGATTGAACTGTCCTTCCTTTCCTGAAATTAATCAAGCCCAGATGGTGACTAACCTTTCTTTACATGCTCCTGAACTCAGTTGTTCAAGAAAAGCCCTGCACACAGTAACCAGGAACAGTGATTGGCATCTGGTAGCTTTTTATTCATTTATTGTGAGCTCCTGGGCTTTCATGCTAGCATGATGCTGGCCTCTTAAAATTTGCTTAAACGTATGCCCTTAATTAGAACAAGACAGGCAGAAATTGAATTTCTATGTAGCATAAGATATTGGGATCTGAGGATAACTTGGATGAACCCAATTCAAGAAGAGAAGAAAAACAAGCTTTTGGAATATTCCAGATGAATGATAACATTATGAAATTATAAGATTTTCTCATGCCTCAAAGACTAGAAATGTGTTCCTATGTCCACACTGTTCACAAATGCGGCTTCCTCTGAAGCTTGCTCTAACAGAGTTGCTGGTAATTACTATTCTCAACAGGAAGCCCCATTGGAGAAGAAATGGAAGGAGAGAGATGGTCCAGTAGCTCAAGCCCTTGAGCAAGAACAAAATCACAGTTCCTCTTTTTGCTCTATTGCCTAGTTAATGGACTCTTATAAAAGTCAAAGTGCTTTTTATATAACGTTGAGGTTAGAAATTCTAGATGCAAAGCATGTCCATGCATTAGAGATTTAAACTCTGGCTTAAAGACTACTTTATCAAAATAGTTGCCCTAAGAGAAACGTGCCATAAGCTATCAGAGGAAACAATTAAAGAAACAGTGAGACATGTATCCTGCCTCATGTGTAACTGTCTCCTCTGGAAGAGTAAAGAGTCTGGGGCACATAGCAAGCCTTGTGCCCCATCAATCTGAAATGTGCTCCCAGTTAGCAGCATAGCTCATGTCCTCACCTTTTTCATGTTCATACAGTGTCATCCTCCTACTTAGGGTCCATCCAAGCCCAGTATTTACAATCCGTGTAACTCACTCATCCATTGTTGCCAGCATGCCCTGGCCCTCAGTCTTGCCCTTTATCTTAGCATATTATTTAGTACCATCTACAATAACATATGTAGTTGTATTGTTTAACATGTGATTTTTAATTACTCTGAATCTTTCCAGAATAATAAAAGTTCTACATGGAAAGTAAGTTATACATGTTTCGTGAGTAGTCACATCGTTCATGATGAAATTTACTCAGAGGGCTCTCAATATATATTTGACCAAGAAATGAATGAACAAAGATCAATTCAACTTCTATCCTATACACTCTCTCTTAGATTCTGTAGCCTTAAGGTGCTACCAAATTAAAACCCAGATTTTACATTGTATATGTTAAAATCCCATTTCTGTGAAATGCTATTCACTTTTACAAAGCAAAATATTTCCATCTTTAAGATGTCCTCTGCTTCTTTCTCTCGAAGATTCAGACATTATGGTTTTTTTTCCTGCTCATCAGAAGAAAAATAATCAACTGCCAAAGATTTCATATGGAACCCCCTTGATTGGTTTGCCTTGGCTAGCTTTTCTTACTTCATCCCAAGATATTCCCTAGTCTATATCCCATTATTCGGTGCTAGAAATGATACCAGATAGCCATGCCTTCCTCCAAAGAGTTTTGCTTTTAACCTGTCACCTCCAAGGATAGAAACAAGAGGATCCCTAAGGATCTATACAAAGTATTATGTTGCTACTGTTTTCCTTGATGTTATAAAATGGAACGAGTAAATGTCTAAAATATTTTAAAGTAAATAGGTTTCAGAAAAAATATATTTTTATCCAGTCATGTAGCTTTATTAAAAAATACCTAGCAGTAAATAATCTACATTTTTCCTTTTAATCCACTGAAACTTTTATTGCCTGTGTAATTGAAATTTCTAATAGGATTTTTCAGACAGGAAGCAACAATGAGCAAAATAAAATATGTCCCTAAACTCAAATTCCTACAGGGGCATATGCTATATAAAAGTTATCACTTTTGACTTGGCATAACACAATAAGATGCTAATGACAGGTAACAAATTAGAATATTAATATATTTTGGTCTCTGAACTAAATCTTGGCTATCTGGCAGATGTGGTTTTTGCAAAATTGATAGCAAACAGCTTTAGTCTGTCACTTGAAATTCCCACTTGGAAGAAGAGAGGTGTCACAATGGCAAGGAGTGTGCATGTCATTAGTTAGGTAATCTACACAGTCCAGTGTGGAGCATATTCAAACTAAATTGCCTGATGATATCATCCATACCACCGTGGGGCTTACATGTAAAAGGAGAGAGCGGGGGAGGAGAAGGAAATGGTAAATTCTCTGAGCATTTTTATCTTTCAATTCATTCTGCACACTCTTATCTAAATGAAGCAGACAAGGATTTCCAGAATGCTTCTTTATTTTGCAACTTTGATTTTAATGTGACTAAGGCCATGGTTGGTTTGTAAAGCATGAACTCATGTCATCCAAATAGCTACGATTAAGGTTTTGATATTCATGAGCTTCTTGAAGTAAAGTGCACCTTTCCTCATGTACAGCAAAACGACCAAATCCTCACTCACAGTCTAGAATAGGACTAAGAGGTCTACGGATAGCTGTGTTATTGATGCAGAAATGTTTGAGGATAAACACTTTGATTCAGAAATAGACACAATTTATGGGCACAGGCTGCATGAATCCCAATCCTGTATCTCCAGCATAGTGTCTGTGTGACCTTGGCCATATTAATTGTTTATGTATCCATTCCCTCCTGTTACAAAGATAGGATCTTAAATAGTGCTCTCGTCACTAGGTTGGTAGGTAAAAGCATCGGCGTGTACAAAGTATAGCAGGGCGTCTAGCACAAAGAAACCACACTTGAAATGTTAGCTATTATTAAATTCACACTGTCGTTTTAACAAGTTTCCATTTCTATTTTCAAAAAGCCCTGTATTTAGGTCAGTCACTCAGAGAAAATTCCAGAAACTTTGTAGCTGAATATATGTGCATTATATTCTTTAAGCCCAGTTCTCTGGTACCTGTTCCAGGGAAGCTGGTGGCGTGTTTCCTTGGCCCCTCATCTAACCTTCTTACTTTTCTGTTGACCTTGCTTTTCTTCAGCCCTGCTCTTAGCCTACATCACATATCAGGAAGGGCTTAGCAAAGTTATATATGTCATAGGTGCTAAAGGAATGCCAATGTGCTGTTCCATGGTCTAAAATGGTCTTCCCCTGAAATTACCCTGGTCAAACTACCTTTCTATCATCTACCTTCACATCTCCTTCAGAGTTGAAAAATACATAACCTGGACCCTGCCTTCTCTTCATGCCTCTTGACAATCTAGGGTCTTCTGCTCTGATTTCCATCTCCGTGCACTGCTAAAATTATCTTCTTAAAACTGGCTGGGCACATCTTGATACTGAGAGAGTTATCATTGAGTTTCATGAAGTCACGTATTTCTGCCCGTTACTGCTCACCAGCCTCTGTAGTCTGACAACTTCTGCCTCCCCCTCCCATGCTTCTCAGCCTTCTCCCTGCTCCTTATTCTCTACAGGCTGATCAAGTTTTTCATTATTATTCATTTCTCAAAGTGAGGTCCTATTTTCCTGGGTATCACCTTGATCGCTCCTCTCA